CATCGATATCACGGTGGCCCAGTTCTCTCTCTCTCTCTCTCTCTTTCTCCTGCCTCTGCTTTTTGCATCCTTCTCTGATTCCTCTCATTTTCTTGCTCTCTTCGTCTATCCACCTCTTGCATTCTATCTTTGTTGCTCTGTCTACCTCTGACATCTAGTCGCTTTCTCTCCCGTCCTTCTCTCCCTCTCTCTCTCTCTCACGCTTTGTCCTCTCACGTCGTCCTATACGAATTTATAGGTGACCTCGTCGCTACACATCCGCGGCTCGATAGAGTTACGACGATATGGAAGTGATTTCGGAAGTCTTTGAGAAATCGCACGCGAGGTAAATTTTCAAATATTTGTACAGCACAAACTTGTGATATTGTTAAAACTATTGTGTTGGAGCAACATTTTTTTCGAATTACACTTTTTTCGAGTTTATTACTATATCATATGTATATCAGTTTGCGAATGAAAAGTATAAAAATAATGAATGAAGCGCATTGCTGTTGTTCATTAAATTTGAACGTCTCTTAACTCCAAGGGAGATGATAAGCATTTACATAAGTGTTATATATTACATGTATTGCACGTACCAGTAATTGAACGTAGATAACATAACATGCTGTATATAGTGACCGCAATGCATACGCTGGGAAACACTTGCGATTAGAGTGGAGGTTCGCAATCGCCACGAGCACAGAATTATATTGATTACAACACTCATCAACAATTAATTTCTCGGGAGCTCTATCTATACGCGATGTTAGCACATATACTCCAATATTCCGTAGAGTACACAATTGCAAACCGCAATTCTGGTCTACTGAATAATTCCGAGCCGACATAATATTTCCTGGTGATTGAACTTAACGTGCTTGGATATGTCTTTGACGAAGCCAATATGCATAATTAAAAGAAATATACGTGTCAACGCACAGCGAAATGAAGATAAATAAAATAAACACAATATTAAAATATATTCAATAGTATATTTTTCATTAATTTTCTTTAAATACACAATTGTTGAATTTGTTTATCGTGTATTTATATAAATATTTATTTTTAGATATTAATATAAAAAAAGAATCCTATAGAGAGAGAGAGAGAGAGAGAGAGAGAGAGAGAGAGAGAGCACATATATGTATATATATTATTACAAACTTAAAGCTTTCTGAAACATTTTTAGATTTATAGTTACATATTTGATTAGACTCACAATGTACAATATTATATTTATTCATACAGATTAATTTTTTCTTTCAAAAATTGAACAAACTCATGTGTAACGTTTGAATGAACAAGCACGCAGTATAACGAAGAAAGCGCATTCAATGTTTTAATTAAAATCTATGACAGTTTGCGAATTTGCATCATAACGGTCTTACCATGCGAACATTTGACAATGTTCGATCCGCACGTTGGACCGCAAACCTCGAGATTACAAATTATTCGCAATCACGCAGAGTGGTTTCCCTATATCCTTCGATGGCATGTTCGTGGAAAATTAATTTGGTTCCTAGCCTTAGTTACAATGCTGTCTAAAGATTCATCGTGGTACATTCAAACTTATATATATTAGGATTAATTAAACAACTGTGCTATCAAAACAAGAAACTCCAGAAAAGAGCTTTTACGAGCATTCTCCAATAAACAATTTCCTTGTCAAATTATTTGCGAGGAGACTCGGAAATGATTTAAATATATCAAAGTGTGTGCGCACGAAAAATTTCGACTATCTACTTCTACTTGATTGTCATGATACTTTCGAGATATTATCGAGACCGCATGTTTTACGTTTGTCGTCAACTTTATTTCCGCGCTATTCAGAGAGAAAAAAAGAGCAGAGTGCAATCTTTCGCCTACCCTGATAAGCATATAGCCAAGACTTGGCTCTCATATCGCGCAATGTCTGCATACATACGTATGCAGATATTCCCGTATTTTTTTCTCTCGTGAAATCCGTCGTAGCGGTATCCAGTCAGCCGCGAGGCAGATCCCGAGGAAAACTGGCATTATCCGGCACCGTACTTAATGGTTGTACCGAGCGAAGTTCTTCGCCGCCGAAGAAACGACCCGCTTTACTATAAATTCCAGATAAGCCGAGGTTTACGGGCGGCATGCAGTTAAGACGTCGTGCTTGCGCGCGCGCGGAAGCGGAAGCGGAGCGCATCCCGTCCGCGTCGCGGAAAACAGTCCGCGGAATTACTGTCTTCGTTCGTTCGTCGATGCCAGATTAAAGGACTCGAGGACTTGAGCATGTTCGCTACACGTATATATACGAGGAATGTGTTTCGAGTCTCGTAATATAATGGTACGAGACGTGATAAATATTGGGGGTAAACGAGGTCAATCGATATTATTTTATATGTAAAAAATTTTTTTATAAATTTTGAGAATCGAGAATATGAAATTAATATCTGAATATTTTAACGAAAAAAGATTATATATATTTCAGTTATATATTTAAGTGCAGGACATTCAAAATTTATTACATCATTTTGCTGTTAAAAATGGAAATGTGAAAGTCAGAAATAATAGATAATATTAAAATAAAAAAATATGGTTTATGTAGATCGATGTTTAAACGATAGTCAAAGGATTATAAGAAATATAAAAATTGGATAGAATATCAGAATAAAGAAAAGTACAATATATATGTATATCAACCGATATTTAAATGTTCAAATCGTAGTCAAAAGGGTCGCGGATGAAAATTAATTTTACCGTCGACGCTTTTTCGTCGACATCAGTGCAGCTTTAATCTAGAGATTTATTTTTGCCGGTGTCGACCGTAGTGAGATTAGTTAATCAACGCTGAAGATTGGCTGCTTCCGTTGCGGGTGGTGCGTCAGGCTTCCTTCAAGTTTTAGCAGCCAACGGTGTCTCCGGGCTACATTCGCTTCCCTTAAACTTGAATTTTTCATCTAATTCCAACGGAAGGGTCGAGCGAGCGACTACGCGTCAATTTTCGCGCGGATTAAATATTAGAGAAGCGAAGCGTCTTTTCCTTACCTCGCAAGAGACGCGGATGAAAAAAGGTTGGAGGGATTCGACACCAGAGATGAATAGCCGTAGGATGTGCCGTGTGTTAGGAACGATATTCTATGTGAGATGGCGTTTAGAGAGTTAGGATAGTTTTCTTGATGGAGGCGGAGAAATGGAGAGGAAGAGAGGGTAACCCGATGATTTAACGGCAACATAAATATTGCATTTCTCTGGAAGTATCAAAAGTTTCGACGGCGCCTGATACGTTATAATTTTTAAAGACGAATCGCGGTATCTCGGTAATCACGCTTCTGCGAAATCAACGAATTTCATTTTATCAGCGATATAAAGTTTCGCCAAATAATATTGCGCGCATCGCAGAGGCAATATTTTCTTGATACCAAATATGTAACATATGTATATATATATATATATATTTTAAGTGCTTTTATTTTCTATAATTATGTTATATTACTTTACGTACATAATGAGTAACAATTTATTAAAATGTCCACGATTGAGAGGAGTGTTTATAAACCGAATAAATTGATTCAATCAACCGCAACAGTATTTACACGCGTGAAACCGTGCGTTTAACGCGAATTCGTTTAGTTAAGTGTTATTTGTGACATTTCATAATTCTATCGATAGCTAATTACAAATATCAGCGCTCTGGTGAACACCATCGTGCGCGCGTTATTAATTACGCGCCATTTATTGCGCGAATATCATAGTGCGAGTGACAAACGGCATGGATTTGACTTTACATTATATGACCGGATAAAAACATCGACAAGACAATTTATTGTAGAAAGAATCCTAGATGACAAGAATCGCGGTAACGTGCTTGATCGATGCAAAAAAAATTATAAAAATGTCCATCGCATTTGATTGATTTCTCGCTAAGATGAGCAAAACATCGAGCAAGATACTTTGTATATTGTGCCGAACACTGATGGGGAACGTACATGAAAAAGCATGCGGGCGAATCGTCCATCGCGCGCATCTAGGTAGGAAAATTGGTTTTTCCGGGCGGAAGTGAACGCCAATAAACGAAGCACAGCACTCAGTCACTCAGTCGCTGAGCGAAGTTGACCGAGATTCGGCTGGCAAAGCACAATAACTCGCCACATCAGTCCTGGGATTTTGCAGAAAGCGCGCGCTGCGAACTACGCGTGCACACGTCTATATCTACAGAGCTGCAAGCTCTGCGAGCGCTTTCACGCTCCGACGAATCCCGCAGTCCGATTGAATCGAGATGTTCCCATGGCCGTGTTCGCGTCCCTCCCTCTGACTCGCGATTTTCTAATAAAAGATTTGCGCAAGACAGATATTTCGCGATATTGCGCAAAGTTGAGACGCTGAGATTATTTAAAATTACAATTATATTTAGTAAAAATTTTAAAGAAAGCTTCTCTTTAACGGAAAATTGTCAATGCACTTGAAACTTTTACATTTTAAAAAGATCGAAGCAACGCAAGATTTTGTGGCGATAAATGCCACAAGCATAAAATATTACAAAGTAAAATATATATAAAATAAAAGTACGAAATAAAAATATATAACAAGTAACGAATGTTAAGGATATCGCGACCGGTGATACAAAAGAATAAATAAACAAGTAAGCGTCTGACATGACTAAAGGAAATTTTGATTGCTGTAAATAGAAAAAAGCGAAAGTACCGGAGAATAATAGAGAGACTAATAACCGAAAAATAAAAATAAGGTCGTGGAAAAATCGAGAGAACGAAGACAATGCGCGGCCTCGAGAGGCAGAGAGATTTAGACTCGCGTCCGCGATAGATGTTTTATCTCGGTGGAGAGAACTAATTGTAATCTCGGTGTCTCAAATAAATCCTAGTAAAGACCATATACAGTTTAACACCTGATAATAATTCCGTCTGAATTATCCTCTCCCGATTCGCGATATTGAAAGGACAGTAATAATTACCGAATTCACGCATTCGCGCACGCACGCATTTAAAATCAAACGATAAACCCAAAGTGGTGACCCCGACGTGATCTGGGTGATGCGAAGTGCTGTGGACATTGACATTGCCGCGAATCGTGATACAGATTTTGAAGTGAATTTTTTAAAAAGTGACGGAATGGTGCTGACACGCGACGATGGAGCTGCCTCTCCGCTGATACAAATCGAGCAGCCGAGACGAGATGCACTGCCTGTGCCAGGGACGTCGCAACAAGGAGCAGAACGACCTTGCCTGTTCATGGCGGGCGCCGAGGTAAATCGCGTAGGCATGAGAATGCCAGAATTTACTTCCGGAGATCCGGAATTATGGTTCAACATCATAGATCGGAGCTTCCAGGCCGCTGGAATTATTACGGACGCGACCAAGTTCGGTTACGTATTGACGGCGATCGGTCCACGACACGCGATGGAAGTACGCGATATTATAATGAACCCGCCAGCGGAACGCGCGTACGAAACTTTAAGATGCGAGCTGATAAAGAGATTGAGCTTGTCGCAGGAGCACAAGACGCGTCGGCTCCTGGAGCATGAGGAGATAGGCGACCGCAAACCGTCACAGTTTTTGCGGCATCTTCGAGGTCTCGCCGGTAATGTTGTCGGGGATGAAGTCCTGCGAACCATTTGGTTAAGTCGACTGCCCGTTTATTTGCAGCCGCATCTCGTAACGCGCGTAGGAGATACGCTGGAAACTCTCGCGGATATGGCGGACGCGATCGTGGAGGCAACGAGAGCGCCCGCGGTGCACGTCGCGGAAGCGGCTCGGCCGACGGCATTCGCGGGTGCCGAAGTAAACGGCATAGCTGCGTTGGAAGCGAGAATCAACGTCCAGATGACGCAAATGCGTATGGCCATGCAGCAGGAGTTCGCTGAGCAAATGACCGGCTTGCGAAAATGCATCGAGGCACTAGGAGAGCGAGAACCTCGCCGGAGCGACGGCGGTGGTCGTCGCAGGCGGGAGCGTTCGCGATCGCGCTCTCGTGTCCGTGGTCACGCGTCGAACAATTTATGCTACTTCCACTGGAGATTCGGACCGGACGCGCGAAGATGTGAACCCCCGTGTGCCGGACAGCCGCAGGGAAACGCGATGGCCCGACACTGATGACGGCCGGTGATCAAGGCCAGGATTCGCGCCGTCTATTCGTTACTGACCGCGACACGCGAATTGACTTCCTCGTGGATACGGGCGCAGACCTGTGCGTATTTCCTCGCAGGATGGTGCGTGGGCCGCGGCAACAATCGACGTACGAATTATCCGCAGCGAATGGAACGGTGATCCATACGTACGGAACCGAGACTTTAACTTTAAATCTCGGACTACGGAGAAATTTCACGTGGCGATTCGTACTCGCAGATGTGTCGAGACCGATTATCGGCGCGGACTTTCTATCGTATTACGGACTCCTGGTGGACTTGCGGAATCGTCGGCTAGTCGATCAGGCGACGGGACTCGTAGCCGGGGGACGTAGCGCGCAGTGCGGAATACCGAGTGTCCGAACAGTGACGGGAGTGACGCCGTATCACAGACTTTTGACGCGTTATCCGGACATCGTACGACCTGACGGGCGCCCGAAAGAGGTGCGACATAACACGAAACATTTTATTGAAACGACCCCGGGGCCGCCGGTAGTGTGCAGACCGCGGAGACTTGCGCCGGATAAATTGACCGCAGCGCGTAAAGAATTCGAAAAAATGATGGAGCTCGGGATCGTGAGACCGTCGAAAAGTAGTTGGGCGTCCCCGCTGCATATGGTGCCGAAGAAAGGTGAAGAGTGGCGACCGTGCGGTGACTATCGCTCGTTGAATGCGCGGACGATCCCGGATCGGTACCCGGTCCGGCACATTCAGGACTTCGCGATGGAGCTTAGAGACAAGCGGGTGTTCTCGACGATCGACCTGGTGCGCGCGTACCACCAGATACCGGTGGCGGAAAGCGATATTCCGAAGACCGCGATCACTACGCCGTTCGGCATGTTTGAGTTCCCGTTTATGTCGTTCGGATTAAGGAACGCGGCTCAGACTTTCCAGCGGTTTATCGACGAGGTCCTACGAGGACTTGACTTTTGCTACGCGTACATTGACGACATACTGATCGCGTCAACGACGGCCGAAGAGCACAGCGAACATCTGAAAATATTGTTTGAGCGTCTTCAGACATACGGCGTCGTAATTAATCCGGGAAAGTGCGTGTTCGGACAAGCGGAAGTCGAATTCCTCGGATACGAGGTGAGCGGACACGGCACGCGACCATTGCCGGCGCGCGTACGGGCGATCGAGGAGTTCCAGGAGCCGAGGACAGCGAAGGAGCTGAGGCGGTATCTTGGCATGATCAACTTCTACAGGAGATGTCTGCCAAGAGCCGCGGAAATTCAGGCGCCATTAAATGAATTACTTCATGGCGATGTCAGAGGAAAAGCGCTCGTCAAGTGGACGCCGGCAGCAAGACAGGCTTTCAAGGACGCGAAAAGTAGCCTGATGCGAGCTACCTTGATATCGCACCCGAAGGTGAACGCGGAGCTCGCCCTATTTACGGACGCATCGGACAGCAGCGTGGGGGCCGTACTACAGCAGCGAGCGGAAAAGGATTGGGAACCGCTGGGCTTCTTTTCGAAAAAATTAAGCCCGACGGAAGCCAAGTACAGCGCGTTTGATCGGGAGCTTTTGGCGATCTACTTGGCAATAAAATATTTCCGCCACATGGTCGAGGCACGGACCTTCACAATTTACACGGACCACAAACCTCTCACGTATGCATTTCAGAGAAAACCGGAAAAATGCACGCCGCGACAATTTCGGCATCTTGATTTTGTCGGGCAATTTACGACGGACGTACGACACGTGAGAGGAGAAGAGAACGTGGTGGCGGACACGCTATCGCGCATCGAGGAAGTGAAAACACCGCTGGACTACGAGGCACTCGCGAGATCGCAGGAGGACGATGCGGAGTGCAACGAGTACATCGAGGGCACGAGCGGATTAAGATTGGAAAAAATAGAGATTCCAGGCGCAGGCACGACAGTATTGTGCGATACAACAACGAAGATTCCGAGACCATTTCTGACAAGGCCTTTTCGGAGGGCCGCATTTAATATACTACACGGACTTGCACACCCGGGGATACGAGCGTCGGTGAAGATGGTAACACAGCGTTACGTCTGGCCGTCAGTAAAGAAGGATTGCAGCACTTGGGCTCGCGCATGCATCGAGTGCCAGCGAGCAAAAGTTACACGCCACGTAAAATCGCCGAGAGGAATTTTCGAGCTACCAAGCCAGAGATTCGAACATGTGCACGTGGACATCATTGTCATGCCGATATCAGACGGCAACAGATATTGTTTGACCTGCATCGACCGATTCACGCGCTGGCCGGAGGCGTTTCCCATGGAGAACCAGGAAGCAGAGACAGTCGCAAGGACATTCTACCACGGCTGGATAAGTAGATTCGGCGTGCCGTTAAGAATAACAACCGACCAGGGACGGCAATTCGAGGCGCACCTCTTCAAGGAGTTGAGCGGATTGCTGGGATCTAACCACCTGAGGACGACTGCCTATCACCCCCAGGCCAACGGCATGGTAGAACGATGGCACCGCCAATTAAAAGCATCGATCAAGTGCCATCAGAAGGACCGGTGGACGGATGTGCTGCCGACAGTTCTGATGGGCATAAGAGCGGCGTGGAAGGACGATCTGCAGGCGACGGCGGCCGAGCTGGTGTATGGAGAAGCGCTCAGACTGCCGGGACAATTCCTAAATAAGCAGTCCGGCGAGGAGAGAGACGCTAGCAATTTCATTAAAGAATTGCGACGTCATTTCGAGGATGTCCGGCCGGTCGAGGTCACGCAGCACGGAGAGCGACGCCCATTCGTGTTCAAGCAGCTGGGAACCACGGAGAGTGTGTTTGTTCGGCACGACGGGCCGAAAACACAATTGCAGATGCCGTACGATGGGCCCTACACAGTGGTTCGCAGAGGAGAAAAGACCTTTGTCGTGCGTATGCACGGGAAAGAACAGACAATTTCAATCGATCGCGTAAAACCAGCGTATTTAATTACAGAGAGACAGAGTGACGAAGCGTCGCCGACGGCAAGGACTCCTGGAGACAGAGAGACGAGACTGGACCCGGAGCAGTCACATGAGGCGCAGCCAGCGTGTGAAGGACGACAGACACGAACGAGGAGCGGTCGAAGGGTCCGATTCCCGGACCGATATACGATGTGACGCGGCGTGTCGGACAAACAGAAATTTTATAATTTACATTATTATTAATTTTTATTAAGTTTTATTTATTTATTTATATTTATTTATTTGTTTTATCTCTCCACGCGAAGTATAAATCGACGCGGTGACTAGTGACGACTCGAAACGACAAATAGGCGCGATAATTAAATAATTGTACAATTAGGAAACCACTAGAAGGGGGGTACTGTGGCAATAAATGCCACAAGCATAAAATATTACAAAGTAAAATATATATAAAATAAAAGTACGAAATAAAAATATATAACAAGTAACGAATGTTAAGGATATCGCGACCGGTGATACAAAAGAATAAATAAACAAGTAAGCGTCTGACATGACTAAAGGAAATTTTGATTGCTGTAAATAGAAAAAAGCGAAAGTACCGGAGAATAATAGAGAGACTAATAACCGAAAAATAAAAATAAGGTCGTGGAAAAATCGAGAGAACGAAGACAATGCGCGGCCTCGAGAGGCAGATAGATTTAGACTCGCGTCCGCGATAGATGTTTTATCTCGGTGGAGAGAACTAATTGTAATCTCGGTGTCTCAAATAAATCCTAGTAAAGACCATATACAGTTTAACACCTGATAATAATTCCGTCTGAATTATCCTCTCCCGATTCGCGATATTGAAAGGACAGTAATAATTACCGAATTCACGCATTCGCGCACGCACGCATTTAAAATCAAACGATAAACCCAAAATTTCAAATTTGCCTATATTTATGGAAATTGTGCGAATGTACTTAACAAAATTTGACATTTGCATTTGGACCGGAAATTATTATTGCAAAATGCATATATCAAAACTTTTTAATTATTTACTCTCTCTAACGCTTTCTGTTACTTTACAATGTAAACATAAATATTCAAACTGTATGTAATAATTTGCGATACTCGACGGAAATTATAATTTATAAATATAGTTCCGTCGTCAACATATTCGCTTTCATGGTCTTTTGCTAGAAATACAAAATTTATAATTATCGAGATCATATATGACTTTAATTAAAATTTTGTGAAGTATATTTATATATGCAATACATGGTATTCAACTATGAAATGCAATATATGCACACACATATATATTTTTTCATATTCACTATATTCATGTGTGTATAAAACGTGTTCCATTTTCCTAGCTTTTTCCTGTAAAATTTTTCGTTTAAACATCACTGCCAATCAGCAGTAAAATTTTACAAAAATAATTGGTCTATATTCATTATTTTTGTACACGATAAATCACATATATTGTAACTCTCTTATATTATAGTGAACTTTTAATCGAGCTCCCTGAGCTATAATACGAAATTGCTTTTGGTTAATTTTCGATTATTTCGAAGTTATTAATTATTATATACGTGCGTGTGTAAGGGGAGGCGCATGTTTATTCTATAGTGGTTCGTATAACAATGATCGGAGAATCGCGCGACAGCGCCATTCAATAACACCATTTCGCCACTTTAGTGAGGAGACTCTTAAAAAGTTTACATGTGCGAGCGTGTATTCGCGCTCGCAAAAGCGCGCAAGGAACAGACGTGACACGCATCCATTACAAGCCGGAATTTGAATTTCTTCCGCCGAAACGCGGGTGACGATCGCGCGCGTGTGGAAACGTTACTCTCTCTCGAAAGGGTCAAACAATAAATTACCCCGGTAGTAAACGGCGCTATTAACTTTCCCGTCGAAACGACAAATCCGTTTAACGCTCGGCTACGCCGACTGCATCGGTAATAAGTTTCATTCTGCGTCCGGTCCAGAGAGCCCCACGGCATGTACCTATACTCTACCAAGAGACTATTAGTCGTGCGTTTGTTTTATACGGATGTGGATACGCATATACGCAGGTATTATGAGGCACGC